ATTACATTACATTACATTACATTACATTACATTACATTACATTACATACATACATCGTAACTGCAAAGGGCCTGCATGTCCCATTAAACCTTTACTTTTGATACAAATGACTTGTTGCTACACTGTCTGGTGCGCCTAGATTCGTAGCCTTGCGTAAAAGCTTCCCCATAGAATACATTGTCATCCGTTCCTAGCTTATTCAGAATATATAAGGATTTAAGAGGTTGCTTCTTTGTGAAGGTTTGATCATTTAAAGGGAATTGTCCTTGTATAGAATTTGGGAAGCACAGTGACAACTCCCAAGAGTGAAGCAAATATCCTCAAACGGATCATCTTAGCAGTCGTAACAAAAGCATTATATAGTTGTCATACCAACCACCAGGGTACATTAGCCACAAGCGCAGTCAGCAAACCACCATTGTTGCTATGTTTGCACATGCACTATGAGACAAGACTCATCTTCTTTTGTGAATATTCATCAAAAACAAAGAAGTCCCCAAGAGTCTATCCATCCATCCATTCTTGCATGATAAAAGCTGTAAATATTACCTGTCGTACCTTGCATCATGCTTGTGCATCTGTGTCTTCTGACCTCCCGAGCTTGCGCTCTTCCTGGATTTCGCAGTCCTCAAGCCTGGCCTTGGTGCACAACACCGGTTGAGGTTGAAAGTCCAACGAAGATGTGTACGGTAGGCTGATCCAAAGAGTGCACAGGGTCGGATCCTCTAAAAAGTAGCGTCCTTTGCTCCTAGTAGCTTCTTGTTTCTAGTGGCGATGCCCTTTGCTCCTAGTAGCGTCCTCTGCATTTTTTGTTTTGGCTTGGCAAGTTCAAACATGGGGGCATGGTGCCAGCAATACTGCAGGTGAGGCACTCCACGTGATATGCCTGAACAGAAACTGCACAAACAGTGGCGCCGCAACAAAGTAGAAAGATTGGAACTGGTTGCACATGATGAGTTCAAAGCCCCAAGTTGTCAGCCTGTGTTCCAACATCTCCCAAGTTCTGCTGTCCAGTATAGCCCTGCTGTGGCAGTGCGCGAGACATGGATTTCAAACACCGCTTTGCAAGGCAGAAGCCCATGATCCTCAGCACAGCGCCAACTTCTTTTCTTTTTTGCGCTCCTCTCTCCTAATAATACCTAATAATCGCTATATATATATATGATGTTTAGTCCGCTCCCCCCCTCCCTACTTAATTAAGTAGACACCTACTTAATTAAGTAAGGGAGAGGTATATAACTAGTAGCTTAAGTAGCTACTAGTGTGGACGCAGGATAGCTCACGATAATGATTTGGTTCCTAGATTTTGAGGGAAACTTAACATAAAGCACTTCTCTCAGCCGGTAAGAAAGAGGCCCATAGCACCAGGGATCTCCACAAGGTTGTAAAAGGGGTCTACCGCCCCAGGGGTCTCACTAGGGCAGAAAAGTTGGAGGTCCCACTGGGAAATTGTCTAGAGTGTCGAAAGAAGTCATTTCACACGGAACTTATCATAAGCTTAAACCTTTCTTCCCTTTCTTTTTTGTTTCTAAGAGCGATGGCCTCGACTAGAGATGGCCTCCAACCTAATAACAATGATCTCCAAGTGATGGCCTCGAACCCGATAGCAAACTATATTAGACCAGACCATTCGTCCTTTCCTTATAACTTCTGTGCAAATCAGCCTTCACTTATGTTTTTAGCGTTTACAGTAAATTTGTCATACAGTAACCTCATAACGTCATGAGTCATGAGTTCAGATCAACTGACCGACACCAAAACTTCTATGCACGCAAGATTGATTTCAGCACTATTATTGAAGAATTCAGCTCCCCCTCAACGACTGCTGGGGTAGTCTGCAGGTGTTGGTCGCAATATTCACTACCGTGACCCCAAAATGGAAGAGTGATCCATTCTAGAAATATCTTGAAACGCGTTCCATCCGTGGACCACTGATGGACCACTGTGTTTCAAGGCTGTGATTGAATAGTACGGATCGTCGAGGGACGTGCAGCAGCACAGGCCGACGCCCAAAGCTGCCAGAAGAACCCAGCCAGGTATGGAGGCCTGACCAGGGGACAGAAATCTCACTAACCACATCGAACCACCCAAGCGAAATTGCATGTCCGCCATGTGAGCGTGCGCCAACTCTTTGAGCATTGGGGCAACGTTGTCTGGCGATTCGGGATTGCTCCTACCAATCCATGAGTTAGTCTCTCTCACAGGTTTCCGCAACTGGGATCTTTGACCGAAATCATGGTGGCACTTCCCAAAAGAGATGAAGTTCCTTCCACTCCCCCCTTGACCCCCGTCTGAGACCCCTGCTGTGGTTGCAGGGCATGATGAGCAAGGCCGCTCTGAGGATGGCTGAGGTCCCGCCAGCAATTCTGCAGGACCTGGTTTGTCTGTGTGGAACTCTGTCAGTGATAATTTTGTATCCACTGAAACTGACAGAGTAACCCACTACATGAAGCATCCCATCCCATCTGTAGTGGGTTTCTCATGAAACCCACTACACCTGTGAGCTCTGCACCCTAATCATCCTAGGCAAACCTTCAAAACACCCCTCTGTGAAGGTGTCTGTATGCTATCTGTTCATGTGTTCTGCAGTATCTATCTTTGAACCAAGGAACCTGAGCAAAGCAGCCAAGAGCCACGGCTACAGGTGACCTCTGCAATCTCTGAGGCTTCCCCACAGGCAGCTGCGCAGGCTGCTGTGTCCCAGGGGCCAACAATCCAAAATGGTTCTGGCAAGAAATAGTTCTCAATGACCTGGTTTGAAAACAGTCAGATTCAAAGATCTTCATTCTCAAAAAAGAACAAAAGTTACACCAGCATAGACCCAGATAGCTAGGCAGAATCCCACGACCTGTTGACACGCGACTGGCTGGAACAAGAATGTGCGCAGCCTGCACAGCCGGCTTACGGCACCTCCACAGCGCGCGCGATCAGCTGACACCAGCACCGGTGCGCTTTGTGAGCTGACAACACCGGCAGCGGCGCCAGCACCGGACCAGCGCCGCCACCCGTCCGCGTGCTCAGCCAGCTCACAGCACCAGCACCCAGGACCACAGCACCAGCACCGACACCCTGTCGAAAGCGCGCGCAGCCAGCTCATTCTTATTTGCAGCAAGAAGCCCCATAGCTATCCCTATTTGGGGAATATCAACGTACTGTTGATGGACAAAATCCTGCACCACCTCACCACTTTACCCTAGACGGGTCGCATAGCAACCCCCGTGCCCCCTCATTCAATGTTGGCGCGACCCCTCTGAGGAGGTGGTGCAGGATTTTGGACCTTCAACTTGTTTTTGTTTTCTCACTGTGGTGGCCCCAATGTTAACAAGGGAGAACGAGGGCAGCAAGAAAAGTGTGCGCAAAGTGGTGCAGGATTTTGTCCATCAACAGTCTCGTTTCATTACTACAATCTCGTTTGAGTAATATTGCTCTACCAAGCTTGTTGTGTTAGTTTTTT